TTGGACGTTTGAAGGCCATAATTCGTGCCAAAAGAGACCAACTCAAACAAATCTAAACTTATTCTAAAATTTGATGCTATTTCCAACATCTTTTGCTTTCATTCAATAAAATTTAAAGAAAAATGTAAAAATTATGGCGTTTGACTTTATTGCAGTTTTTTTTATATCACCCTGTATACGCCGTAGCTACATGGACTGAATCACTACTGTAAAAATAGAAATCTCTCATTCCCATAGAAAGGAGAATTTGGCTTGCGAAGAGTTAGAATTTGTATGGATAAAATCTCCAATTTGCTACAGATATTTTAAAATTAGGCTATTTATTTCATAGATGTCGTTTAAGTATTTTAAAATAAACGTCATGGCTAACGGGAACATGGCTAACCTAGATCTTTCGACGATTTATATTTCATTATGAAAACTTGCTGAGAGTAAAAAGTATTGGAAATGTCAACATACACAGAGGTAGTGATTACAATATACCTCCTTAAATGTTGAGTTTTCGGCGAGTGTAGCTATCATTTGGGATCACTTTTTAAGGCATGAATTATTGAAAACTTTAAAATGGCCATAACTCCTTAAATATTGAGTTTTCGACGATTTTAGCTATTATTTGTGATCTCTTTTTATACCCTACACCACAAGGTGGTCAGGGTATTCTGTCTTTGTGCATTTGTTTGTAACAGGCAAAAGGAAACGACGAGATAGACCCATAGTTCCTTTGAAAAATACCTCAAGGAAATATTTAAAAGAACAAAAGCATGAGAACGGAACGACTTCGTAAAAGTACTGCTTTCTAAGATTTAACCTTTTACTATAAGAAATTAAATTAATATTTTGATGGTATAAGAAAGGTTTTATAAGAACCCAGTGTCGAAATTGAGTGCCCTCCCTTCACTGCGTATGAGTCATATTAATATAGGTAATTGTGGCGTATTATTATTACACATTGTCACAATTCCATCAAATATACGCAACAGTAACAAACGCATAACGACAAGCTTTAAAGCTACAAAATCCTTATGGAAAAAATTCCGACAACAAAAGCAAGTAAATGGATATATTGTGTTAATATGCAATTTTCTAAGGACTAACATTTACTAACAAAAAATAAATTTGAAAATTGATTGAAGATTTATTTCTTGACAATACGTCCAGACTCACCCATCACCTCACTAAGAATTGATTCTTTTTTGGCAATAAATTAAAAATTATTTTTCATAGAGCCGTTTTTTTCTGTGGAAGACTTATAAGCATTAGAACGATTTATACGTTTCCTAAAATCTATTCTAATCTATTTAATATACACTGGTGGCCAAAACTAATGCAACTTAAATCGCAGAGACAATAAATGTCCTGTAACTTTTACAAAAATAAACAAATCGTAATTATTTTTCCATTTTAAAATGAGGGGTTTAATTCACTTTTAAGAAACTAAAAATAAAAATACAAAAATAATTTTGAACGAAAAATAATATGTGGAAAACTAAAATGACCCAAGTTTTGCTTGGTCAAAACTAAAGCAACTTTTGATTTTTTATTTTAAAATAATTAAATTTTGGTTAGTAGTCGATAGCATAACCATTATTTTTGATAGCAGCTGCACACCTACGAGGCATTGAATCTATGACACGCTCAATTTGATCCTTGGGTGTGCTTTCCCAGTGCCACGCCATTTTTGACACTCCCTCATGCTTCACAGTACCTTTGCAACACTGCGGCTTGAGTCCTTCATTTTTTGGTCTTCTCACCGTAAAATTTTTCACGTCTGAGCCTTTAATATTAAACGTAGACTCATCCCAGAAATAATGTTTTTTCCATTGAGCTTGATTCCACTTAATATTATCGTTTCCGAAAACCTTTTTGATTTTTTCAGATATAAATGGTTTTTTGATGTCTTACGGGCATGCAGACCAGCTGCCACTACTGATCTACGCACTGATCTCGAGCTTATATCCAAAGATTGCTCTCTCACCAATCCAGTTGAACTCTTAAATAGTTGTTTTTTTTATTTCTCTCACAATTTGTGGATCAGTACGGGCTGAAGTTTTCAGGGCCTTCATCCGTTATAGACTGTTACTATTGATCCAGTTTCAAAAAACCGACTTAGTATACAGAAATAATTATGAAATCACATAAATATTTATGAAATATTTCTCGGAAATCATTTTCTGTGATATATTGTTTTGATAGTCACTGATAATTTGCTGTTTTATTCAGGTACTGTGTTTGCTTCTAGCCATTTTAATTTTTTTTTTTTTGGGCAGTACTTAAAAAACGAAAAGAAAAACACATACTGTTGTAAAAAAACTTCTCAAAAAGGATTTATGACAAGCGAAATTGTCGAAGGAAGCAAAAAGCGATAAATATCACAGTAAAAACAACTGAAATTGCAGCGGTTATATGAATGTATAACAGAGTTGCTTTTATTTTGTCCACGCCAAAATCGGGTTAATTGACTTTACCAATCATTATATTTTATATAAAAATGAATTTTGGTCTTATGTTTTAGGGTTTTAAAAAGTGAATAAAGTACCCAATTTAAAACAAGAAAAACTTTCCCATTTTCCAAATTGCTAGAATAGGTTTTGATATTTTTACCGGTTTTGGTACAACGACCACATTAAAGTGCAGTTTGGGATCCTATAACGAACCACTTTTTATCTCCATATTTACTTTTTTTTGGTGAATAAAAAGCCTTTTTTAAGAACTAGATTTCGAAATTGAGTGGCATATCTGCACAGCGTATGAGCAATATTAATATCGACCCCGTTGACGTATGATTATTACATATTTTCGCAATCGCCATCAATACACAAAACATTTATGCCCCTCAAAAAGAAATGTAATAATATTCCATCATCATGCTTTATTACCAGATAAACCCATGAATGTTGCGTTGTTGTTCCGCACCACCATAAATTTTATAGCTCCTGAAAATGCCAGTACTCAAAGAATCTCAAAATAAGTGTTCAAACAGTACAATCTAGGGATTCCAGCATTCATAAAAAAAACCCCACGAACACCGTTTTATTGTGAAAACACATAAATGTTATGATAAAGCTGCTACTTCACAGCCAAGATGAATTTATCTCTAACAATGTAAGCATTGAAGATGAATATCTTCTGCCACTCAAATCACACTAAGTTAGCTTGGGTTCAAACTCGCACAACAACGCACAAGTGTTTTGTCTGCAATGGTAATAAAAATGTTGTGTTTTCGCAATTTACTTAGAGGGTATGTTTGTTTTATTTTTTTCCTCAACTACTCGATTTTTTTTTTAGTTTTCTGCTCTGTGCGGAAAAATGAAAACAATTGTCTGAAGGACATGCCAGTTATTTTATTGTCATTTTGGTTGCATCACGTATTGAATCAGTTCAACAATGTTGCTTTCGCAGACACACACACACACTTACATGTCGTCATCATAAACATCATCATCATCTGTGAAATCCAAATAAAAATGTATGTGTGTGTGTCAATAGTGGTTAAATCTTGTCAGATTACCACTTGACAAGGTCGTCGAAATCATTTTGATTTCAACAACATTTGCACAAAAATATTGAATTAACGTTTTTATTATACCCTACAGGGTATTATGTCTGTGTGCATTTGTTTGTAACATGGAGAAGAAAGCGAGATAGACCAATAGTTACTTTTGAGGATCTTCATAGAATCACTTTCTGACTCAATTTATGAATTTCAGTCCGTCTGTCCGTCCGTCTCTCTGTCCAGGTTTCTCTACAGGTCGCATTTATTATCCAATTGAGATGAAATTTTCCAAACAATATTTGTTTGGCTCAGGACGAACCCTATTGAAATTGATGAGAATCGGTTTAAATTTATATATAGTTCCCATATATGTATATCTTCAACCGATTTCGAGTTAATTGTGCACCAAATGGGCAATATCAGTCCAAAGGACCTGAATTTTGGCACATCCACCCGAATTCAGTCTAGAAGCAAGTACGACAAAAATCGCTTCAGATATAGCTATAGCTCCCATATATATTTTTCATCCGATTTTAGGTTTTAAGTCCCTCACATGCGTAATAGGCACTCCACAACAATAATCTTTGCTACCAGATGCCTTATGGTGCTCAAAATGACCTCTGTCAAATTTTATCGAGATCAGATCAGATTAAGACATAGCTCCCATATATATCTTTGTCCGATATCAGGTTTATTGTGCACCACATGGCTAATACCAGACCAAATTGACTGAATCTTGACAATTCCGACTGAATTTATCCTAGTAACAAGTACATCAAATTTGGTGAAAATCCGTTCAGATATAGCTATAGCTCCGATCCGATTTGGTGTTAAAGTCCTTCATATGCGTTCTATGGCCTCCACAATAACAGGCACTCCACAACAATGATCTTTGCTACCAGATAACCTATGGAACTCAAAATTACCTCTGTTAAATTTTTTCGATATCATATCAGATTAGAACATAGCTCCCAATATATCTTTATCCGACATCAGATTTGTTGTGCATCACATGGCTTATATCAGCCCAAATTAACTGAATCTTGGCAATTCCGACTTAATTCATCCTAGAAACAAGTACATTAAATTTGTTGAAAATCCGTTCAGATATAGCTATAGCTCCGATCCGATATGGTGTTATAGTCCCTCACATGCGTAATATGCCCTCCACAACAATAATTTTGGTACCAGATATCAGATACAGCTCAGAAATAAGTGGAATTCAGCCTAAAATACTGATGAAAATCGGTTCAGATATAGCGGTAGCCCTCATATATATGTTTCATCCAGCTTCGATAATTATCTTCATCCGATTTCATCAGGTATGATCTACTTCACATAAATTCCCAGTATACACTCTCTTTGTTACGGGAGCTCTACCAAATTCGCACGATGGTGTATGATACCCTACACCAGTTCATTATTATTCAATGATTTTTATGTTTTGTTTTTATTTTTGCCATAGTTTTTCATCTAAAATGTTTTTTTCTCTTTGATATTTTTTCAGGCTGTGCAAGGCAAACTCTTTGGTTCCAAGGAAATTGTTGCATTATCCTGTGCCTGGTGTCATGAAGTCTATCACAATAAGGAATCGTGTTTCAATCAATCGAAAATTGGCGAAGAATGTAAAATGGGTAAGTAGTATTTGTTGAAACGAAGCTAAATCCTTGGAAAAGCAAATTTTCTTCAAGGAACTTCATGGTGTATGAGTAATGGTAACACGTATACGTTAGAGGTACCCAGAGAGCGATTTTAAGTTTAATTCTCTATGCAGATGAGTTAAATAATTAATACCACTTTAAATACCAAGGATATTTTTGTATTTCCACAAATATCAACCATTTATGACACAAAATTAATTAATATTGAATTTCAGAAATTGAAATTTTCCAATGTATTCGAATATGCATGTCCTTCAAACTATTGCAATTGCCCTTTTGTCCTCCACTGATAATTCGAATTCAAGTGCAATTTCTAAGAGTTTCACAATTCCACATCACCAGAACTTAATGTTATCTAATTAATTTGCCTGGTAAAATGAGCCTTATAGAAATCCAACAACAACAACAACATTGTCGATGGACCAAAGGAATTCCAATTTAATCATGTAATCGCAAACATCTTATGCATTATTAAATTTCTTCTACTTTAAACGGGGGCCATTTGTATGACAATGACAAGTTAACAAAATGACAGACATGCAAACATTTCATTTTCATTTCGCAACTGACATTTGACAATTATTCTGGCAGCAGTCACAGCAGCATCGAAGTTAGAACTTCTTCTAATGTGTCTGTTGCATGACCCAAGACAATAGAAAACGAAAAGAGCACAAAGACGAATAATTTACTGCAACACTTGTGTCCTTACATTTGTAATGTGATAATTTACAGGATATTATGTGTCAAAAGAAAATTTTCAACAGAATAGAAGTCAAGAGGTGATATGAATTTAACAATGTTTATTATCACACATAGTTTTGAAAATGAATTCCAAAGAAGCTTATCAAAAGAAGAATTTTTTGGGGAAATTTTGTCCTTCATATCTGGATAAAATTGTGAATGGCTTCAATATTATGTGCAAGGTCGAGATAAATTATTCACATGATCAATGAAATTCATACTGGGGGGGGGGTCATTTGGTGCGAATGAGTAGTGTCAACAATCATACGCAACCAGTGCCATTATTAATATTACAAATGAATGATGATTTCGGAGACATATTAAAACTTTTCAAAAATAAGTTGTAATGTTACACTCGTTTTTCTCGACAGATATATACCCTCAGACACTAAATATATTGTGATTACGTTATGATTATTCAAAGTATTGACCCTTCCTTTATTGGGGTAGTTCTGAAGAAAGAAAGTTGCGGGATGAGAGAAATATTAAGATGTACAAATTTTGAAAATAACCGTTTACTTGTTTCACAATTTATAAGATATATAAGTTTTAAAAACTGTGACTCTTCGTGGGGGAGCTACCAGAAGGAGCGGACCGATATCTGTCATTTTCTCAGCAGATCTTATTTTAATAGAAATATTAAGATGTGTGCAATTTGAAGAGAATCGGACTCATATTTCACCTTTTATAACAATTCTAATTGTTCCAAATTGTCACCCTGTGTGTGGGAGGTACCAAAAGGAGTTGTTCCATTTAACCCATCTCCACACCAGATCTTGCGTTAATAGAAACATTGCAATGTGCCGAGTTTAATAGGAATTAGATATTTATTTAGCGCTTTATGAGCTTCATGATTTTTCAAAATTTTGACCCGTTGTGGGAAAGGTACCAGATGCAGTGGTCCGATATATCCCATCTCCACACCATATCTTGCGCTGATGAAAATATTGCGATGTGCCGAATTGAAAAGGAATCAGATGCTTAATTCGCGTTTTATGAGCTTCATGGTTTTTCAAGGTTTTAACCCGTTGTGGGAGAAGAGGTACCAGAAGGACTGATCCATTCTATTGGTTCTTTTTGTACCAGATCTTGTGTAGTTGGAAATATTGAGGTGTGCGAAATTTGAAGATCGTCCGTTACATATTTGATATTTTATAACATTTAACATTGTTTCAAATGTTGACCCTTTGTGGGGGAGCTACCAGAAGGAGTTGGCCGAAAAATCGCTCCTTCACGCCAGACCTTGTGTTAAGAAAAACATTCAAATGTGTGAAATTTGAAGAGAATCGTAGGCTTATTTCGTTTTTATAAGATATGAATATTCAAAATTTTGACACGTTGTGGGGGAGGTACCAAAAGGATTGGTCAGACCTATCCCATCCTTATACCAGATCTTAAGTTGTTAGAAATATTGTTATATGCAAAATTTCAAGACATTTGGACTCTTATTTCAGATTATTTGACATAATTTAAAATTTTGAACCTTTGTGAGGGAGGTATTAGAAGGAGTTGGCTTGTATTGAACATTTTCGCATCTGACCTAGCACAGACACAAATATTAGGATTTACAAATTTTAAACAAAATCGGAAGATCCTTTCTTGTTCCATACGGACCGATAGTTAAACAATAATTTAATGATGTTCCAAATATGGATCAAATCGGATACTGCCTTCGAGGGTTATCGTCGCCCCTGCCAGCTAGCCAGACAGACGGACAGACGGACAGACACCCCTAGATCGAGCCCGAATGTCCTCGAACGGATTTGGTTCAAAGAGACCAAGGGTCTAAAACCGTTATTTCGATGAGGCACGTTTTGGCCATATCAAATGATATATCCCCCATGTAGCCATATGGCTGAGGGTATAATAGTCCGAAAATATCGAGTAGCCCCAAACCATCTGAACTATATTTGTCCATAAAAAACAATGACCCTGTTTTTCATGGAGATAGACCTATAATCACTTTTGAGGATCCTCATAGAATCACTTTCTGATTCGATTTATAGATTCGGTTTGTTCTTCTCTCTATCCATGTAAGATTGTGAACAAAATTCAGGTCACATGTATGGCCCCATTCAAATTAAATTTTACACAAATCATTTGTTTGACTCAAACAACCCTATTGATATTGGTGGAAATCGAATCAGATTTGGATATAGCTCCCATATATAGTGTTGTCCGATTTCATAAGAATTGTGTACCAAATTCGTAATATCAGTCCGAAATGGATGCATTTAAGAATACAGTGCCATGTTTAGACCTGAAACATGTATGCCAATTTTGGTGAATATCGGTTCAGTTTTAGATATAGCTCCAATATATTGAGTCGTCCGATTTATTGTGCACCAAATGTATCATATCAACCTAAATCGGTTCGGCGCGCACATTTTAGTTCAGCATAGAGTGTGTCAAAATTCGAATTATGCACTCCACAACGATGAAATTTGGTACCTGGAATCTTATACAGCTCAGAATCCTTATATATTCTTGTTTGAGCACTTATTATGGTCTATCGTAGTAGTAAAATTCCATATTCTTGCTCGATTATTTTTTGAGATATCTTGTGGTAGAATCCATTTTTATACCCTACAACACTATGTGTTGGGGGTATTATAAGTTTGATTGGGCCAAAAATTATGTAACACCACGAAATATTGATTTCCCACATAGGAAAGTATATATGGATCTTCCTAGCTCGCCGAGCTGAGTTGATCTAGCTATGTATGTCCGTCCGTCCGTCTGTCCGTCTGTCCATGTTAATTTGTAATCACTCTACAGGTCGTAATTATGGCCCGATCTTCACGAAATTTAAAATGTAGGTGGGGTTAAGGTCGGAATAGAACCCTATTTCTTTTGGAGATGATCGCCAAATGTTTAGGGGTTGAAATGCACCAAATACTGAAAAAATGTCGGATTTTGCAGTAGCTATACTGGTCGCAATTATAGACCAATCGACGCGGAATTTCGCATGTAGCTAGAGTTTAGGGCGAGGAAGAAGCCTACCAATTTGGGTGGTCATCGGATAATATTTAGCGGCTAAAATAGACCATATTTTTTTGTTGAAAAAATTCAAAATTTTTCATTAAACCGCGAATATTTTAAATCCCGGCGAAATCTCAAAGCCATGACAAGGTTACTTCTGATCTTTACATTGATGTTAAGATCCAACAAATCGGATATATAGCAAAATATGTGCGATATATATGTCTATCAAAGAGGATATGCTTGAAAGATCTCTTATATGTCGAGAACGGCTGAACTGATTTCGACAGTTCTCATTAATTCAGAATGGCCTCTTGGCAGGAAAGAAAAAACGTCTAAAAAAATCGCATAAAAACATCTCTCTAAAGATGAAAATATTGATTTTTTAAAGTTTTCTCATATTTTTTCAATTTTGTCATATTTTTGGCATATTTTCATTTTGAATTAAACATTTGGTAAAATTTCTACAGCTAACAAAACTAAGCAGTTAGGATATCAGGATATCATATACAGATCGCATTTATGGCCCGATCCTTACGAAATTTTGCATGGGGATAAGATGAGGGTCAGAATAGAAGCCTACTCTTTTTGGTGATGATCGCCATATATTTAGGGGTTGAAATGGACCAAAAAACTGCAAAATTTGTCAACAGGTCGTAATTATTGCCCGATCCTGACGCACATTTGGATGGGGGTTACCGGACATTGCAAAAGCCAAGCAGTTTTGGATGGCCATCCAAAAATATTCAATGTGTAAAGGAGTTTGCCAACTTTTGTAGACAAAATACGAAAATGTCTATTCCAGTGACTTTTTGGAGAATTCACAAATACAGGAAAGACGCACTTCTGACTATTTCGTTAACGCTGATTTCGTTGCGTTTCAGTCAAAAACCAATAATAAATGCTAATCTTTTGCCACGTCTGAGGGATTATAGGTCTTTGGGAAATATTGGTTCCAGATCTAGAAAGACCATTTACGTTCAACATCTACCAATAAATTGGAAATGAGCAAATAAGTTTAAGTTGCTATTATTCGAAAATTAGAGAACGAAACCTGATTGTTTTCTTTTATTATTTGTCACAATATCTTGTGAAATTCTTTCGAGTATCTCGCCTATATAAACTGTATCGTTTATTATAGTGTTGTAGGGTAACGGTCGGCCCCGCTCGACTGTAGCCTTTGCTTACTTGTTACCCTTCTATTAGTATTTTTTATTGTATCTCGAAATAGAATCCATTCTCATTATTAAATGAGTACTTTAATGGTATCTGCAAGTAGAACTCAATCCCAATTCTTGCAGTAGTATTTGTTTAGGTCTTCCAAAGCTAAATCCTTGTATATCCTTAGAAACTCCCACTTTTTCCCGTTTGAGAAGTTATAAATGCTTTCTCTTGTAGAAATCATTCTCATTTGAGTAATTATTAAAGCCTTGATTGTGGACTTATTGAGATCTCTTGTAGTAATTTATGTGTGTCCTTCTCCTCGCTTGTGTAATTATAAGGGTCATTTCTCGGAGTCTTTCTTAAATTCTTATAAAGCTACCTAAGAGTGGAATCCTTTTATTTCCTGACCTAAGCGCTTATTGAAGTCTCTCGTACTGCAGAGCCCTTACATACCAATGATTGCGTCTTTGGAAAATATCTATCTTCAATATTTTGTAATTAAAATTCTCTAATTCAAATTATAAATATTTTTAGAATGTCCTTTGCAAGTTAAATTAATATTCCCAAGTGTTTCGAAATAAATTTCCTTTTCACTTCAAAACAATTTCCATTACTTGAAACCCAGCATGTGGCCAATGATGAAATCTCAACAAATGACATTTGATTTAATCAAGTGTTAAAGAATGCGTTTGACGCCATTATTTTCTCACTCAATAGAGGAAAACGAGGAGGGAAAGACTGACCACACAACAAAGTCATATCACATTGGAATTATATCCCGATTTGTTGTGTGTGTATGTGCGTAGAACATCCAAAGCTAAATATACATATGTATGTATGCACATAAATCTAAAGTTTGTGTTTGGTTTATTTTTTCAAAATGAAAACTAGTGATGACATGTTATGACAATAATAATAACGACTCTAATGCATGCCATGCAGTCGGTGAGATCTCCTCCGACCACATCCAATGCTTGTGGCGTCCTGTAGTTCTGTTGATTACCACCACCACTCTTAGATTTAAATGGAAAACTGAAAAGATTCACAGGATGTCAGAAAGCTAATCAAACTAAATTAATGTGTTGATGTGTGCGGGTGTGTGTGTGTGTGAATATGATGACACCATGATGCTTCTAACTTAATTTGATATTTAAATTCTATGAGATAACATGTCAAAATGCATGGGCGAGTTTTTTTTTTTTTTTTTGGTCCTCCACCAACACACATCACTTCTAGCTGGCTTCACTCAATGACGGAATTGATTAAAAGTGACAAAAATTTGGTGAACCATGTTTACATATTCTATGAATAAACTAAACAAGTTTCCAAACACACACATACATACATATGCGAGGGAATGAGAGAAAAATGCATTTATATGCAAAAAATAAAAGTGATTTCGTTATGCATTTTTGATTTTTTTGTTTATAAAATAAAGTTATTAAAATGAGCATGGATGGGGTTTGGTTGACTTAACTGATACGTATAATTAATATTAATATGACAAGGGGTGGCGTATGACGTTTGCTGTAAGCCATACGCACTAAAGGAACATGTATTTATTTCTTTTGAATTTAGAATGAGCTGATGAATTTAGGTCCAAAATTTAGAATTTGTCCATAAAAAAAAACAAGTTAAAAATATATATACCCATACCCCTAGCATGAATTATTGAAAACTTTAAAATGGTCATAACTCCATAAATATTGAGTTTTCAGCGATTTAAGCTATTATTTGTGATCACTCTTTAAGGCATGAATTATTGAAAACTTTAAAATGGCCATAACTCCTTAAATATTGAGTTTTCGGCGATTTCAGCTATTATTTGTGATCATTTTTTAAAGCATGAATTATTGAGAACTTTAAAATGACCATTACTCCTTAAATATTGAGTTTTTAGCGATTTTAGCTATTATTTGTGATCACTCTTTAAGGCATGAATTATTGAAAACTTTAAAATGGCCATAACTCCTTAAATATTGAGTTTTCGACGATTATAGCTATTATTTGTGATAACTTTTTAAGGCATGAATAATTGAAAACTTTAAAATGACCATAATTCCTTAAATATTGTGTTTTTAGCGATTTCAGCCAATGATCGATTATTTAAATATATTTATATATAGTAAGTTGTAAAGAATCGCTGACTTGTTTCGCAAGTTATAACAGTTAAAATTGATGGATTTCTTGAGATGTACCAAGTTTGAATGGAATCAGATGCTAATTTCGAGTTTTATGAGCGTCATGGTTGTTCAAAAGTTTAACCCCTTTTGGGGAAAGGGGGGGGGGGTGTACCAGAAGGAGTAGGCCGATATATCCCATATTCACAGCAGATATTGTGTTAGTAGAAATAATGGAATGTGTGAAATATGAAGAGAATCGGATGTTTATTTCGGATTTTATAATCGTTTTGGTTATTCAAAATGTTGAGCCTTTGTGGGGGAAGTAACAGAAGGAATGGGCGATCTCTACCATCTTTATAAAAGATCTTATGTTGATGGAAATATCGAGATGTACCAAGTCTGAATCGAATGTTAATTTCACGTTTTATGAGCTTCATGGATATGTCAAAATTTTGAAACTTTGTAGGGGAGGTACCAGAAGGAGTCAACCGATATATTCCTTCTTCACATCAGACCTTGGATTAATAAAAATTATCTGTGTAATTTGGAGAAAATCGGACTCAATTCAAAATACTGAACCTTTATGAGGGAGATACTTGATGGAGAGGACCGATATTGTCCCTTTATATCCAAATCCATTTTAGAAAATTTCGTTTTTGAAATAAGGTCAAAGAGCCCCGCCCAGAGCTTACCCTTAGTTTTTGACCCGGAGAATTTGGGCAATATTTACGCACACGAAGGTTGTGGTCCATTTTACAGCTAAATATAATCCAATGGTCATCCAAAATGCTAGGCTTCTTTCCTGTCCTTAAATCTCTTCTGATGCGAAATTCCGTGTCGAGCGATTACACAATTAGGAAAATTTAAGTTTTTTTTACCCTCATGCAAAATTTCGTGAGGATCGGATGATAATTACGACATGCACATAATACCCTTAAAATGTAGTGTTGAAGGGTGTAAACATTTAGGAAATTTACAATTCAAAATTGTAAGTCAAATTGAAAAAAATCGCATGCAATAAAAAAATGACAAAAATTGTAAAAAAAATGGAACAAAAAATATTCACTTTTTTGCTGGTATATTTTCCGCGATTTTCTGCTTTTCTAGCAAAAGACCATTCCGAATTGATGGGAATTGTGAAAATCGGCCCAGCTGTTCCTGATTTATAAGCAGAATAAATAAGATCAATTCTTTTACATATATTGCACCTATCTTGCTATATATCCGATTCCTTGGCTATTAGCATCACTGTAATGGTCAGAAGTGATCTTTTAATGCATTTGTGATTTGGCTAGGGTTTAAAATATTCGCGGTTTAGTGGAAATTTTCCAATTTTCTTACATAAAAGTTAGGATCTATTTTACCCGCTAATTATTGTCCGATGGCCGTCTGAAATTGGTAGGTTTCTGCCCACTCCCAAACTCTAACTCCATATAAATTTTCGCGTCGATTGGTTCATAATTGTGACCTATAGAGCAACTGCAAAATCAGGAAATTTTTCTGTTTTTGGTCCATTTCAACTTCTAAATATCGTGCGATCATCTCCAAAAACAATATAGTTCTAATCTGACCATAACCCAACCTCCGTTTTCAAATTCGTGAGGATCGGTTCATAATTGCGACCTGTAGCTTGATTACAAATTAACATGGACAGACGGACGGACGGACACACATAGCTAGATCGACTCATCTCGGCGAGATAGGAAGATCCATATCTACTTTCCTATGTGGGAAACCAATATTTCGAGGTGTTACATAATTTTTGGCCCAATCAAACTTATAATACCCCCAACACAAAGTGTTGTAGGGTATAAAAATTAGACTTGTGTAGACTTTTAAAATCTACTAGGGTTTTCCTTTAATTATTGGAAAATTTAAATTTTTTCGACGAGTATTATTCAAGATTTTGATGCTTAATGGGGAGGTACATTAAGAAATTGACCGATAATGCCGATTTCTTCCTATTGGCACATGCTTTATATAAATCTTTGCCATGCGAACCTTCCATCAAATCGGATACTCCTTTCGAGGTGCTTAATATTCATGGCTGAGTGTATGAAAAAAAAAATTATTAATCTTCCCAAAATATTGAGAGGCAGTAATTTTTCCACTTCATCCTTTAATCGCAGTATCTCAACCTCGAAAGTGTATCTTTAAAATGTTATACGGTTATCTAACAATGCACCATACCACTTCTTAATGGATTTCCAATATTCGAAATGGTTAAAAGATTTTCTCTCAAGATTTTCAAATGCCACTTTCCTACCCACTGCTGCCTGCCAAGGCGTCGACGTACAAATAGCCATGACAGGCATTCATTTATTCCAAGTTCTCAATATCCTGGCGATTGCAAAGGACATTTGATGTGATGTTGATTGTTATGGTGTGACAAAATGGAGCAACATCATAATCATTTACAATCTCAATGTGATGTCTGATGGTGGTGGTCTTGGTGCTCCTGGTAGAGGTACTTATTGCATTGGCTTGGCAACTGTTTTCTATGGCTACCAAACTACTTCAAACTGCATGAGTTGACACTTAATGCCAATCAAACTGCCACACACATACACTTGCCGTGCCGGGCAAAGTGCAGTTCTGCTTCTGCACTTCAGACAATAATAATAAAATGTTGCATGGACGACAAATCGTTAAGATTCAATATCGAAATGACAACATCATCAATGTGTCGGGTACTCGGCACCCTAAAAATAGAATAAGAAGCAACACTGAAGAGCATTACAAAAATAGAAAATAATGTTTCTTCATATTAACCCCCCCCCCCCCCCTCCTCCTCTAATCGAAAATATTAAATAATTTATTTGCTTTTCTCTTGTAGGTAATTATGCCCCCATCATTGTGCCACCTTCATGGATCGTCAAATTACCCACCAAGGGTAATTTCAAATCATCGATTCGTGTCAACAACAAGGGTCAACCGAATGCCAAGGATAAGAAAACCCGCGCGGCCAGTAAACGTGGCAAAAAGGATGAAAAGAAGGAGCAACGAGCCTTCATTGTCAAACCAATACCATCGACGGAGGTCATCCCCGTCATTGTGTATATTAATCCGAAATCGGGTGGAAATCAAGGTGTAAAATTATTGGGAAAATTCCAGCACATCTTGAATCCCCGGCAGGTGTTCGACTTGACGCAGGGTGGACCGAAATTTGGGTAAGTAAAAAATCCATGGGAACTTTGTTCTAAATTATATGAATATGCGGATTTATTTTCCTTTCTTCGGGGACTGGAGTGACTATTTTGTATAATTCATTTTATACCTAAAATGAAAACTCTATTGTAAAGAAAACATTTGAAAATTAATAAAATTTAAATCTTAGAGGAGTTGCCTTATAAAAAAAATGCAACAGCCAACCTGGGCGGGGAAATTCTAAGAAATTCTAAACTTTCAAACTCGAACGTCATTTTCAATTTTTTTAATAAAACATAGATATTAAAAAAAAATCGTGCCTCTTTATTATATCATAAACAAGATAGAATGAGGTTATGTATGGAACAAGATATCGTGCAGATGGCCGCAGCGGCTTTGCTGGCACACAAGCGATCTCGTAATGACATTTTCTATAAATGCTGCGGTATTTCATTTATTTTTGCGTAAACCATCGACAAAAGCATTTTGGTCAGAATTTTCCAGAAAAAAAGTTATTCGTGATGGAATTCAAGCGTTATAGTGTGATTTCTTTGTATTTGGCTGGAAAACCACAAGTGGCTATCGTTAGAACACTCCAGCATTTAAATGTGAATAAATCTTCAAGCAGATGGACGGAAGGAAGAACAGAAACATCAGCGGAAATGGTTCGAAAAGTAAAAAATGCGACTTGATCGAAACTCGCGTCGCAGTGACCGAAAAATGGCTCGTGAGCTGAACATATCGTAATATTCCATTCGGCAAATATTGAGAAATGAGCTCGGGGTAAAGCCATTGAAATTTCAAAAAATGCAAGAACTTACACCGCAACCGAAAGAAAATGGACTCAAAAGAGCTTGGCCGAAAGTGGTGAACTGCCGAATTTGGTTTTCGCCGATGAGAAGCAGTTTGTAAACAAACAAAGAGGTCAGCGAAAAATGTGCACCTTCGGTTGGCCACCAGAACTCAAGCGCCGGTCATGGTGATGGTGTGGGCCGCCATAACAACCAATGGTCGCTCTCCGCTCGTATTAATCGACCGTGGCATCAGAATAAATGGCGAATATTATGGCGAAAATATTCTAGAGGGTGTAATAAAGCCTTGGGCACGCAAAAAAAATTTGCCGCAGACCTTGGACATTCCAACAGGACTCAGCACCATCGCACTCAGCACGCCCCACTCAAGAATGGTTACAAGATGGGGTCCTTCGCTTCATTTCAATGGCCTTACCTCGCCATGTATTTCCTCCAAAACGCATTTTCAATTGATTTGGACATTATTTGGCATCTTGGTTTCTAAGGGATAAAAAGCCTTTTCAGAGTAGGTCAATGTTTTAGGAGTAGCGCCCTTATACCTTCAGCCACATGGCTAGAGAGGGTATATATCATTTGATACGGCCAAAACGGGCCGAAGGTGCCCGTCCGTACATCGTTCTGTCTGTCTGACTGGCTGATTGGTGGACACGAGAACTCTCGAAGCAAGTATCCGGTTTGATCCAAATTTGGTACATCGTAATATTATTGTCAAACTTAGATCGAGTTGGCACACACATGTATGATATACATAATTATATCCCTCATAAAAAGCTAAATAAACATCAGATTCTCTATAAATTTTACACATACCTACATTTTTGACAACACAAGATCTGGCGTGAAGATATGGGATATGTCGGACTAACATCTGGTCAAAATTTTCAATTATTATGAAACTCATAAAATGCGAAATAAAAATCCAATTCTCTTCAAATTTCACATATCCAAATAATTCCTATGACACAAGATCTGGTGTGATGGTGATGGGATGCATCGAGCCGTTCCTTCGGGTACTTACCCCACAAAAATGTTGAATAATGCGAAATAAGCATTCGATTTATTCTCAATATTTTTACAAACACAAAATCTGTAGAGAAAATGATAGATATCGGTCCACCTCTTCTGGTATCTCCCCAACGAACGGTCAAAATATTCAATACTTATATCTCTCATAACTTTCTCTCAATCATAGACCTGATGTGCGTATGAAATTTATCGTGTCACTCCTTCCAGTCCTCCCCATAGAAGTTTGAAATGTTGCTTAAAAATCATACACATAACATTGGAAATAAATGTTTGACTTTCCTAAGATACCTCCTGATTTTACCAAGATACCTCCTGATTTTACCTATTTCCAGGGTCTTGACTAAATTTTCCAATCGATTTGGCTAAAAATTTATTTTTAGGCTACTTTGAGGGTATAGAACCATTTAAAAGAAAAAATGTAACAAAGGTGTATATTTGAGTGTACCTCCACTTAGAATTTCTCAATCATCAGGCAATATTTGTTGGGAACTTGGACCTGGAAGGTACCGTTATATGAGGCCATACCACATGCGTATACATATGTTGAAAAAAAAAACACCAATAAAATTACAATATTTTCACTGCCAAACCTTAAAAAGCAAAAAACAAAAGGTTTCTGCTTACAAAGAGAACGCCACACATTTCAAACGTCCCGCAACAAAAGTGCTTAATTTATTTTGTAAAAAACCCGAAAACATTGTACCAAATATATGACAATACTCATCAAACATATTCATGCGGTTGGTGTTGACAAATTTTTCAAGAGCAGAAAATGTTACACTCAGAAAAAATTCATGAGGACAATTAGGCGTGAGATAAAAAAAACTGCAACAAAGTCAAATGCCATAATTTTTACATTTTTTTTTTAATTTTATTGAATGAAAGCAAAAAATGTCGGAAATAGCATCAAATTTTAGAATAAGTTTAGATTTATTCGAATTGGTCACCTTTGGCACGAATTATGGCTTTTAAACGGCAAATGAAACCGTCACACACTGATCGAATGTTGCTCTGCGGTATTTTGGCCCATTCCCGGCGAAGCGCTTGCTTAAGGTGATCGACACTTTTTAGTGCCAACCTTGCTTTCCAAAATACTCCTAACACAATAGTCCATCGGATTGGTATCCGGAGATTTTGGTGGCCATTGTGCGATAGAAATGAAGCGAGGAACCTCGTTTTGAAACCATTCTTGGGTGACGCATGCTGCGTTTTGTTGGAAAGTCTAAGGTCTGCGGCCAAAATGTTTGCGTGCCCAGGGCTTTAATACACCGTCCAGAATATTTTCGCGATAACGTTCAGCATTTATTCTGATGCCACGGTCGATTAATACGAGCGGCGAGCGAACATCGGCTGTTATGGCGGCCCACACCCTCACCATGGCCGGCTCTTGAGTTATTGTGGTCAACCGAAGGTGCACATTTTTAGCTGACAAAATGATACAACTCTTAACATGTTTAACATACGGGCATAATATAACTCATCGATATAACTGTCTTAGAGATCTAGGATCTCTTGAAACGAAATACGTTATTGAACATTTATAGTCGATCAACCCGATCTAGCCACGCCCGTCTGTCCATTGCTCTCAAAGGCATCATCCGATTTGGTGCATACTTAGAACATCGTAATATTTTTGCCGAACTTAGATCGACTTTGGAGATGCCCAATGTCGGTACACCCCTACTCGCACCTCCTCCCAAAAGGAAAAACTTTTAAGTAATAATAACTGTAGTGAAATGTGAAACCGGTTATAAATTTTCGACAAATTTCGTATATGCCAACTAGACAGTATATCGTGCCGACTTTGCTTTCTTACTTTTTTCTTACGATTTTTACCAAATGGTAAAATTCGGTTGAATATGAAAAAATCTATTCAATTCGGGGCTGATATTACATATATGGGCATAACCGTAAAATCGAAGTTATATAAAAAACTGAACCGATCTCGATAAAATTTCGCAGAGGTATTTTCGACCAGTATTTGATGACTGGTGTCAAATACCATTGTTGTGAAGCGCATATTACGCATATGAGGGACTTTAAAACCAAATCGGATGAAACATATATGGGAGCTAGATCTGAACCGATTTTCACCAAATTTGATGTACCTGCTTCTAGACTGAATCCGGTTGGATGTGCAGAAAATTCAGGTCATTTGGACTGATGTTGTCCATTTGGTGCACAATTAACCCGAAATCGGTTGAACAGATATAAGGGAGAGATATCTAAATTTCCATCCTTGGGTCAAACAGATATTTTTTTGTAAAATGTCATCTCAAACGGATAATAAATTCGGCCTGCATTTTGTTCACAAAGTACATGAATTCACAAAAGTACAGGCATGCATAAATTGACTCAGAAAGTGATTCTATGAAGATCCTCAAAAGTAACTATGGGTCTATCCCGCATCCTTCTCCATGTTACAAACAACTGCACAAAGACATGATACCCTTACCACTATGTGGTGTAGGGTATAAATATTAGTTTCAAGTAATGGAGGTGGAATGAATATTTCTTTAATTTCATTTATTTTAAATATTTTAAATTAAGTACCCACTTTTGCCCTCAAGTGTGACTTTGGATGCCACACACACATATTTTAATCGTCACCACTCTCAGTTAATTTATTTCTTTTTTCACCGAAAGTGAATTGATTAATTTCATTGCATTTAGTATCAGTCGCAGAGAGTCGCACTAGAATGGCAAATAAATGTTTTTATTGTTAAATTTAGACCTTCACAATTTATTTGTACTTTTTGCTGTTGCTGCTGCTACTCTTCGAACAGCAACGAAACCAAGAAAAAAAAAAAAACAATGCAACTTTTCAAGAATACACATCTCATTTGAACGAATAACTTTGGCCATTACACGCTTCGGTCGACCAAATTTCTATCGATTCAATTTAATTTAGCATTTACTTAAGAGAAGACCACAAATTACTACTGCTCACCCGAGAAATGATAGGAAAGGTAAAGCCGGAAAAAATATAGACAAAATCTTAACATCTAAAATAATAATCTAATAATAAAAATCGAGAGAAAATAAACACTTAAAATAATAATCTCCTGCCTTTTCTCCAAAGATCTCCTATAGCTGTGAACAGTGCGGTAAAATTTTCCAATCTCGGGCTAATCTGAAATATCACTTACTTTCACAACATACCAAGGGGCCAGGAAAATATATCT